GCTGACTTTCTCTCCTTGTGAACTAGCAGAGGTGACACAACTGTGCCCAAATCAGGACATTCCCCACCCCCCAGCCTGATCCTGCACCCATATCTGGAGCTGGGAGCCAGCTCTCCCAGTGGAAGATCAAGTGCATGTTTGCTTACAACAGAGTGAGGAATAGCTCAATCTGTCACCCAGAGCTTTTTGAAAAGAGCAAGAAACTGAACTCAAGAGACATTCTACCACCACCAACTCTAAGGGATTAAATAAATTCTTTTGACTTTCTGGAATCTCACATTAAATATTCTTGGAAATAAGTAGGCCATAGGCTAATGCTAAGAAATCCTTCATAATAAAGATACTCAGTTTGTAATGTAACTGTTGTTATAGGATTTGACCTGAATAGAAAAAGAAACTAAACAGAGCTTTCTCAACAGAGCTCTTTGAGGGTGGATGGTGGAAATCCCCAGAAGAAACAGCAACTCTCTAATAAAACTTTAAAGACCTCCACCCCTCCCATAAGAAGTTTTTGCTGTAAAAAAACCATAGAGAAAAAAAAAAAAAAAACACTGTGGGATATAAAAGTACTACCTGGATTTCAGAGCCAAAAGGACCAGAGTCCACATCCTAACTGATCCTCTACTTTATTGTATGACCTTAAAAGAACTCAGCATAACTTCTAAGACTCAATGTTCTCATCTTCAAAATAGGGAGAGAGGAGCCCACACTTACAGTTACTGTGAGAAGTAAGAAATCTGCAGAATCTTAGCATATAGGAAGTTCTCAAGTTAGTCTTGCCCTCTTCTCCTTGGAGACTAGTATTTTTAATTTAATTTTCTAAACATCTTAGGATTTAGTTTTGTAGTTCCTTCTATAAAAAAAGATTGTCCCTTTTGGCCCATAGGCATGGTAGAAAGATTCCTGGAAAGAGAACCAGAGGACCCTGCTTCTGCTACTTACAAATGAGACCTTCCTGGTCTTGTCTCCTGGCCTGTAAAATAAGGCTACCCCCAGAGTGATTATAAGAATTCAATGAGGGAATTATGAAGCACTTTGAAAATCAGGGGGTGCTCTAAGATGAAAGTGCCATATGCAGCTCAGAGACAGGCATCTGCATTTATCTACCTATGAGGACTCCAGACAGTAGAGATCTGGTCTCGTGTGAGCCATGCCAGAGAAAACAAAACTCCAAAAAGGGAGAGAGGAACCGGCTGCAGAAGTGGAGTTCAGGGGATTCGGTGAAAATTCCAAGTTCAATAGTATTGGTGGGTGTGGTCTCTGATCAATTAGAAATAAAGATAGTTGTCGACTCATCCACAGCCATTGCTCAGATCCTGTCTGAAACTCACAGTACCCACCAAGGGGTCTAGGTAGAGTCCAGAGCAGGGGGTACTAAATGAAGGGAACAGAGAAATTTTTCCAGGTTTATTCATCCATATGCAAGAAAGACACCACAGATTGAAGATGTGAATATTCCAGTCACAGAGAGATGAATTGCATTGTGGGACAGAAATCCAGAATGAAGAAGAGGCCAGGACAGCCATCAGGTAACCTTATCCCTCCACTTTGGTCCTATTATCACCACCAGCAATAATGTAATAATTGCTCTCATTATGAACAACTGTCGTTTCTGAACTCAACAATTTGCAAGGCACTGGGCTAAGAGCTATATGAAGCTCCTGTCATCTAATCACTATTGCATCCATGCCTGGAATAAACATTATTTCATTATGCCCCACTTTGCAGATTAGCAAATAGTTACTCAAGTGACCGTTTTGGGAAATCTTTAGCCTTAAGGATCCTTAATCTAAATATGAGGGTCAAGAATCTTCTAGTCTCTCAAAAAGGATTTTCCTGGGTGTACATTAATCAATACCTCATTTTCCACATTCAACAAAAGACTGAGAAAACTGAAGTAGCCAAGAAGAGATGGTCATCCCTCACTAGTGTTGGAATAAGCCCCTAGGTCCTAATTAGGTCCTCATCTCAACCTTCTTTGTAGCAAACATCCTGGCCTTAACATCTGCAGCTCATTTTCTGGTGTGGGGAAGAATTACACTAATATTAGGGGTGGCTTGGGGTGAGGGAGAGCTGACATAATCAGAACCCTTAGATAACTTGACATGGGTACAGACGGCAGTGATATCACTTCCTGTGTCTTATTCTGTACAGAGGGGAGAAGAAAAGTCTTCTCAGCCATCACCCTAAAAAAAAAAAAAAAAGAAAGAAAGAAAGAAAAGAAAAAGCCACCAAGCCAGGGCTTGGCAATTAGTGTTGGAGTAAGTGATCATCTTGTGATTGCTCAGCTGGGGCCTGAAGACTTGTAAATGCATTTAGGAGACAGAAATAGAAGATGTTGTGAGACAGCAGTGAAACCTGGCCCATTTGCCAGGAGAAAATGTCCCAAAGCTGCCGGGAAATTCACTCAGTCAGAATTTGGGGTGTGTCTTCATAAATGGGAAAAGTTAATAAACAAAACCCATGGACGGAGCCAGATCATAAGCCTCCTCCTATTGACTCTTCTGTCTGTGACCCTCAGGCTTCTCTGGGGTCCCTGTGGTGTCATCAGTGCCGCTTGACTGGGTACGGACCTTTTCCCACCAAGCTGAGCATCCTGATACCCCCCAGTGGGTAGCCAGACCCAAATGGGGGTGGAATATAGTGACCCATGCCTCTCAATGATCCCCCAAAACAAGCACTTTGGCAAGAGTGGCCAGTGTGCCCAGGAAAAATAGGGCTCAAGGTCAAAAGCAGGTTCTCCGGGATCATCAGGACCCGCTCCAACCAGATCCCCCAGCCCACAACACCTTGCAAATCTTGCAAGCCCAGCCAGCCTTTGTCACTGCCCACCAACCAACAGAGCCCAAACCATCCCAAAAGAGATGTCAGGTCACAGCCCTCTTCTAGGGAACCCCAAGGGCAAGCCAAAGACACATTCTGGTACAACCTGCCACTGAGAGACACCCATAGTCCAAAATGCACCCCTGTTCCCACTTTGGTGGCCCAGAAAAACACGATGAGCCCTGAAGCCATGAGAGCTTCAGGTAACACCATCCCTTAGAAGGTCTAGCATCTGGGCCCTGTCCTCCAAGGGGACAAATCTTCTCCCCTACTGATAGCCAACTTCCCCTAAATACGACCCTATGCTACAAATGAGCACTCTGCATGCCATATTTTATCCAAGAAGTAGTTTTGGGGGGGCTATGGAGTTAAAGGGGCTTGGTTTCAGTTGCCAGCATTTAAAAATTGAGTACTTTTTTACAACCAGAGATTTGATAATAAATAAATATATAAATAAATAAATGGTTTTTAAAAATTGAGTACTTTAACTGGATCACCACCAGCTCATTTGACAAAACAGCAAGGTCTGGGACACTGGGCCTCCACCTCCTAGTGGCAGCAGTCAGCTGGATATGTTTACTGGCTGACTCTTCAGAGGGGACATGTGGTCCCCAGCCTCTACTGTCCCCACCTGGCCTGCCATGGCATGTGGCTTTGTGACCTTTGTATGAGTTACTATGAAAAGAGAGACTTCTCAGATGTCAAAAGCTCTTTCCCTTGGGATGTTTTACACAATGAAACTCAAATCCCCAATAAAATAAACACCTGGAACATCTGGTCCAAGGCCCTCCTTTGGTCCCAGCTATTCCTACAGCTGCAAAGAAAACACATCAGGTGACTCATGCCACAGAGACTAAAGCAGGGCAAGGGGGTAGGAAGCAAATTAGACAGTTGAAAGGGAGGTTTGGCCCCTATAGCTAATACATCTGGCCCTAAGCAATGGTCATAGAGCTTTCTATTTTCAGAGGAAGGAAAGAAAGTTTATCAGAAAGCAGAGATGGCCTTAACTGATAAACAAACTAAGAACTAACAACCTGCTTGGAAAAATACACTGAGGCCTGAGGGTAAGACCAGGACTCTCCAGAAGAGAAAGCAACTCCCCCACCATAATTCCCTAGGATCTTTTACCCTTTCACCACCTACCCTGCCCTCCTCTTCCCAACAGCTTCCCTTGGAAGCATGGACTCTTCGTAAGAGATTTCTAGCCAGCCATGCTGCCCTTCCAGTATCAAATGCCAATTATCAGTAAGACTCCCCAGAGGCCAAAGGAAAGACTAGTCTGAATGGCCCTTCTCTGTTTTCTCCCCCAAATGCATTAGACCCACCCCACCTGCTTCCTGCAGAATCTTTGCTCTTTGGGAACACACCCACTGGATGTCCAGGCAAGTCTGTGAGGGAGAGATGACCTAGACAACAAGCATGCCCCTGTGGATGGGATGCAGTGAGTTGGTGTGTTTCCCTGATCACCTCCTTCCCAGGAATGGCAGGCTCCCACTGAATCCTGAGATCAATCAGTCCAGGACTAGGCCTGAAGAGGAAGCAGCAAGCTCTGGTGATTCAACCCCCACTAGAATCTAGCCAGACCCAACCCTTAAGGAAGCCATTTCACCAATCAGACGAAGCAGAGAGGGAAGAGACTGGGTGAGAGAAGCACAGACAGACAGGAACCCCACCCAAAGATGGGTAGCCTACATCTTGTCCCAAACAAAGTCCTGTTAACTTATACAGGTGTCTCCACTTCTCTGAGCTCTTTTCCATTGAACCTAGAATTTATCTAGACACACTTGGTCTGGTCTTGCTTTCTCTCTTCCTCCAACCCCCCAATACCAACTCCAACACACACACACACACACACACACACACACACACACAATTATGGATCTAACATGGTCTTGGAAGTGCAAATGCAAATGTCATCATGAAAAGTGTATACAAACTTGAAAGCCAGGAGATCCTCCCTCTCATCTCAGGTCTTAGACTTCTCCTTCTGATAGGAATCTTAGTCGTTATCAAATCCATTTTAAGAGACAAAACTGGAGGCTCCAAAAAGTTAAGGGCATTGCCCAATAGCATCCAGTAGCAAAACCAGACCGAGATTTCAGGTCTCCAGTTTTGCTGCCCAGAATTGTCACCATGTGTGCACCCCCACCTGCTCCCTGCTGCCCACCTCTACTCACATATAGCGCAAGTGGGGGTTCTTGGCAAAGGCCCTGGGCTGGATGCTCCGGAGTCCTGAATTCTTGATGGTCCTGTGCAAGAAGAAAAAGAAGATCAGCAGAGCTCCAGGAGTGGGGGTTTGCAGGATTTCAGACCCCTAAGGGTTTTCTGCATCTCTTCATCACCAATCATCCCTGATTGCATCCCTGGCCTAACTGCAGGTCTCAGTGAGAGGCCTCTGGGCTCACACCCTTTGGGAACCTGGTTTAGGACTTGGGATATAAGCAGGCAGAGCTGGCAATGGCCTGGGTGCAGGGTCTGCTTTGAAATCCTAATTTCAGGCTGTGGTCACACAATCTCCGGGCTCTCTGGGCTAAGGTGAAAGGTGAGGGAATGAGGAAAATGGCCCCTGACATCCCCTAAGTGGGTGGTGCCAACCCTCCCATTAAGACCCACAGTGGGGAAAGCAGACCGCAGGCTTGCCTTGACTGTCACCCTTGCAAAATCAGACAGGTGGCATTCCACCCCTGCCACAGCAAGAGGCCATGTCCGTGGCCTGGCATACTCACAGCTTTTGGAGTCCAGTGTAGAGCTCCATGTCCACGGCATTGAGAGTGTGCAGGCTGCGCCAGTTCTCTATGTGTCTGCAAGGAAGGAGAGGCAAGGGTCAGGTCGGCCGGAGCAACAGCAATGGCGCTGGCTTTACAGCCAGACATGAGTTGGAGTCCTGGATGGGTCAAATGCAAGCTGGGCCTTCTGCCAAGCCACCAATATCTCTGAGCCTCAGTTTCTTCCTCTGTGTGGTGGAATTCATTGTGACAATGAAGCGGACTCGTGGGCTCAAAGGGCCTGGCCCACGGATGTAGCATTCGGCACCTCCCTCTTAGCTCCAGAAAGAATCTACTTTTTAGAGACATGAAACCCAACCTCCCTGCTTGTCCTTCCTGACTCAGTTTCCCTCTGTCTCCTTTCCTTCTTTTTTCCTATTTAGAATTTCCTAAGGGAAGCATTTTTTCCCTTAGCTCCTGACCATAGAAACAATACAAATAACATGGATTATAAAAAGGAGGGTATGGCTTGCCTGTGGGCATAGCTTCTGGGTAGAAAAGCTCAGCCAAACACACTCCTGGCTCAGGCACCCACCAGGGACAGGACACTAACAGTGACTACAGCCCAATCCAACCTGCAGCCCAAGAAAACCAATGATTCGATTTGGCTGAGCTGACTCCAGAGAGGAGGAAGCTCCCTAAGACCAGCGCAGCACTATAGTATTTATAAAAAGAGTGAGGAACGAATAGTCTAGAAGTCACATTTGAGCCTTATCTCTGAGACTTAAGTCTCAGTGGCTTTGAGCAAGTGCTCTAAGCTTTTTGGGTCTCTCATTTTTTCATTTGTAACAGGAGAGGGTTGCACTAGATCAGCAATTTCCTCCCCTTTTCAATGTCTTTCTAGAGCTTTCCCCCAAGAGACCTCGTGTTTAAGGAGGTTTGTATCTAGCAAGCACACTACATATATTAAGTAATAATTAATTCACCTCAGATTATTAATCAGAGATATAAATTGCTGTTAAGCACAGCTTTTCAATAACAGACACAAGCCAGAGCTAATTCATCTGGTGCCTAAATTCCAGCCCAAAGCAAAGAAACTTGGAAAACGTTATTAACATGAAAAGGCTGTTCAAAGGTATGAGTCTCATTTCTGGGTTTCCTCACATTGACAAAAATGCTAGAGACAAACCCCGCTCATTGCAATTCTGGGGGTCCCCAGGTCGAAAATCATTGCTACCGTATTGATTACCAAGGGCCTTTCTGGCTCTAAAGCCATGTGAAAAGCAAATGTCCATACACTCCTGCTGTCCCCAGAGAATCAAAAGATTTCAGGGAAAGGCCTTCCACTGTCCACCTTTCCCTCCAGGATTAGACCCTCTGGTCAGTGCCCAAGAGGTCTAGGTACCATCTCAGTGAAGAGTACAGAGAGGTGACAGTTCACCCTGGGACAGAGGTACTCAAGGCACACTCAGGCCAGAAAAGAGACAGCCACCTTCCCCAGACGTCTCCTCTCCAGCCTCACCACACCCATGGCTCTGCCATCTGCCACCAAGTCTATTCAGAGCCAAGAAAGCAGCAGGGCTGTGGCTGCCAGGGCCTCTGGAAGCATTTCAGAACCACACAGTGACAAGGGATGCCGAGAGCCTGTTTTGTACCACATTCTCCCAGAGACCCTGCTGACCAGCCAGAGACGCTGGCATCTGCTGGGGACATGGACCAGGTGGACAGGATAGTATTGGATTCCAAATTCAAAGTCTTCTCCCTGGAAGTCTTATGACTCCAGGGCAGATTGCTTGGTCTGGTCCCACCAAGGCAGGGATCTTGGCAACACTTCAGATGAAAAGGATGGCCAGGGAGGGGAGGTAGAACTCCCTGACCACCAAGTCCCCCCAGCATATTGCCTGGGCCATGGTCACATCAATTACTAATTAGATCACAGTGTTTGTACAGAGTACCATTCATACATGGGAACCCAGTTTCCTGTAAGGATCTGCTCCCAACAAGTAGCTGTCAACCAAATTATTTAAATAGATGAAATCCTTTTCCTCTGTCCACATTAGCATTCTATAAATGTGTTTTTATGATGGTTGAGTTGTCAATCATTATGGTATTCTAAAACTTTATTCATTTTGCCCTCACACCCCCATTCCCACAAACTGACCCTTACCCACCTTACGCACACTGAGATATGGGGGGAAATGAACAAACTCAATGCAAAGAGTCCTCTGGTAAATAAAATAATGGCTCCCATTTCTTCTGATAACATCTGAGTTTCCCTAAATCAGGAAATGGCATTTTGTTTTACAGCCACAGAACAACAGCATGATTAGAAGCCGGGGCTCTAGAAAAGTGACTGGCAAACCACAGCCCAGGGGCCAAATCCAGCCCACTGTCTGCTAGGCCTAGAGCTGAATTAAGCTTTTACATTTTTTGTGAAAATCAAAAAAAGAATCATATTTTGTGACCTGTGAAATTCAAAGTTCCACATTCATACTCACTGTCTGTGGCTACTCTCAAGTCATGACAGAGTTGGACAGTTGCTACAGAGACAGCGTGGTCCACAAAACCTGAAACATTTACTCTGGCTCTTTATAGAAAATGGTCAGTGACCTTTACGTAGGGTCTAGCTACCAGGGCACACAGCCCAGCCCAGCCCCGCCCCAGGATGACTCAACCAACCAGACCCTACCCAGGTTACTTCCCCTGTCTGTGCCATGTGACCCTGTCACATGGGTCCAATAAAATACCTGCCTCATGAGAATGACATGAGGCCTGAAGGAGCATGTTGAGGAGGCCTTGTGGGACAGGTCCTCAGGAAGCACCAGCCACGGAGATGGTTTCCTCTCATCCCGTATAGAAGGTGAGCCATCTTTTCTCAGTTTCCAAGCTAAAAATGGCATCATGCTTCTGCTGCAAGTTGTCATTTCTCAGAAATCATTGATAAAAACCCCATGGGGCAGAAGGGTGAGGGAAACTTGTCATTCATGACCTCCAGGAAAACTGTGCAGAAATTTATAAACAGAGTCAAGAAACAACCGATGGCCACATCAGAGCAGGTTCCAAGGTGGATAGAAACAGTGAAGATGCAGCCCTGCCATTTTAGATGACATCAGCAGGCGCCTGCCAAGTTTTCTTATGACTCACTGCTTGGTACCAGACCAGAGGGGTCAGTTATGGTAACTCTGCTGGCTGGCTTGTGCTAATAGGGAGGCCACAAGTTTAAGTGACTCTACAAAATATAATAAATAAATGAAGAGGAGGAGGGAAGGTGTTTGGGGTGTGTGTGTGTGTGTGTGTGTGTGTGTGTGTGTGTGTGTTTTGCACTGGAAATTGAACCCAGGAGCATTCTACCACTAAGCCACATTCCCAGCCCTTTTTATTTTTTGCTTTGAGATAGGTCTTGCTAAATTGCACAAACTGACCTTGAACTTAGGATCCTCCTGCCTCCTGCCTCAGCCTCTGGAGTCTCTGGGATTACAGGTGTGTGCCACCCACCGTGCCCAGCTGTTTTGCTTTTGCTAATAGTAGAGTGGATTCTCTGTCTAGTATAATGACATATGTCTCCTCCATTTCTGTGTTTTTCTGGGTTGTTCCAGTTGTTTCCATAGAGTATTTTTGTGTGTGTGTCATTTGAAAAACATCAATAACTATACATTTTTAAAGGAAGGTCAGGTACTTGAATCCTGTGCAGAGCCACAGCTGAGTGCTCTGTTCCAGAACCACAGGCTGGACCAGCTTCCCCTGCAAAGGCCTCTCACAAACCCACTCCTGCTGTGCAAGCAAGAAGGCAGAAGAGCTCAGAACAACAATGGGAATATGGCAGAGTGCATGACGCTGGTTGACCCCACAGACCTGCAGCCCAGTTCTCCATCTGGATGCCCCTGTTTCAACCATGGACAGGGAGAGGAGGGGTGGAGAGAGAGTCAAGAGGTGGCACACCAGTATCCCTCTCCTGCTTTAAATCAACAGCCCCTACTTTAAGGTCTTCACACAGTGATCTTCAAAAGAAGGACATTTTGCCTTCCAGAAGACCTTTGGCTATGTCTGGAGACATGCTTCGTTGCCACAACTGGGGGAAGAGAGTAACACTAATATCTTGTGGGTAGAGGCCACAGATGCTGCTAAACACCCTGCCACAGACAGGACAGCCCATGACAAACTACTGGCCCCAGAAGTTCACAGCTCTGAGATGGAGAGGCCCTGCCTTATTACATCCAGCTTCTGCCGAAGATCAACATTGATGCAAGAGTCTCAGGGCTTAAGATGACATCAATTTTGAAAATGACTGCTTTGCACAAGCAAACACTAGGAGGCCTCAAGCCAAAACAAAGAAGCCTGCTTCTAGGTCACTGAGTCCAAGGTAAGAGAAAAAAATACAAAGCCATGGTTTCCATGACACTATCAAGTCAAGGGCATTACTTGAGGGAAAATGAGGGGCTCTCAGACCCTCTGGGCTGTGCCCCAAGGCAGGCTACACATTCCAGAAGCAATAACAGTCTCTGGAAGGGCTACACTGAACAGCCTTTCTCCTCCACTGAAAGGTTCCTCTCCTGAATTCCCCAGGACTCTTCATTCTGCAGAAATGAAAAATATTCCATCCATAGAGCCAATCTAATGTCCTGTCCCCGTTTTCTTGCCATTACACCACAGAATTGCTACTCTGCCAAGAATCTTGATGCACCCCTTTTCCAGAAAGAGGGAGGAAGTGAGGTACAATGTCAACCTCCAGAGCCGGGCTTTGGGCTGCAGCTCAGAAACCCTGGTGAAGTCAGTGAGCACCTTTGTGATCAAAGAACACGATGCCTCTGGTGGACTCGAGTGGGAGGGAGTGAGGAGATGGCTAGGCAGAGCCTCTTTAGAAGTATTCAAGAATCTCCGGAAACAGAGCCACTCTCCTTGATTCACAGTAGCTACACGGAGCCCCAGAGACCCCAGGCCACAGGTTCCTGCTTCAAACCCATTTTTGGAATAGGACATGGCATAAATTATTAATTGATACATCCACAGAGAACACAAAAACCCTCTGTGCTAGAATAAATTAGGTTGTACTTTTGTACCACAGCTTTCTCTTCCTCTTTCTGTTTTGCTTGGTCCAA